TCTGTTACCACAACACATGGAATAAGAAGTTTTCTTTCCGGAAGTATTGCCTTTAAGAGCTTCATATGTCCATAATTGTGCATGACACATCGTACATACAACTGTCTGGTCACCATGGTCCAAGTAATTTGTTTAATAAAAACATTTGTAAGACTTTGAAATAATTTAATGTTGCAACAAGTAATAATTTAAATATAAAAGGGGATTATAAATAAAAATTAATATTTTCCTTTTGCAATACCTGGTATTAACTGTTGACGGATTTGTTGATCATGTAAATCTTCATCTGATGTTAGGTCCATAATGGGTATCTGAGATATATTTGGAATCTTTCTTTTTCTATTTAGTTTTCTGCATGATAAATTGTTGGAAGAAGCTTGAGTGACTGAAGATGAATTCGTAGCTCTCATGTCACCGGACAAGGTAGAATATTGTGCATTTACTAACAATAAAAGTATGACAATTAGTATTAAACTTATAAAGTAAATATATAAAAAAAAAAAAATAAAAAAAAATGAATACATATTATTTTATGTGTACCATATATAGTAACAAACAGTAAGTTGAATATAACCATAGTCATACCATTCGAAATGTTGGACAACGGAGTTCTTCTAAAAAAAATCAGAAGCAGATGGAAAATGTTGTTGATCACGACCAACATTACCTATCAATAAAAGATAAGTTCATATAAATATGTATTAATTAGGGAACAATTAAGAAACATGTAAAATAACATAGTATCTTATTACACTATTTATAATAAGTTTATATGGATACAATTAAATTAGTAAGATGATATATATCATATACCGATTGGTACGGTGAACATGTGATTGGATCTTCTTGTATCCAAATAAATTTTCCTTTCTTTTCGTTTATCTTTAGCCTTGTTCGACAATGGACTGTCGATATAAATATTCGAAATAGACTGAACCCATGTTTGCTGATATCCACATGACAAAGTTGGGCTGACATTTTCATTGTTACCAACAATATTGACAAACTTGGTTGATGAAGGTGTTTGAATGTTGGTAGTTATATTAGAAAGCATTGTAAAATAATATAAAATATGTAAGTTATAATGCAGATACAAATAAGTGTAAGTTACATATAATAATAATGATATATATATATATATATATATATATATATATATATATATATATATAAGCGATTTATAAAATAATAATGTTTAATTAATTGCAATGTAGCAAAGAGTCTAGGTAATACATAATAATATTTAAGATTCAGAGGATTGTGTAAAAATATAGTATAAAATAAAAATTAGTCTATCCGATAAAAAACGATATACCATTAGATGATGTGGATATATGATTGGATCTTTTTTTATCCAAATATAATTTTCTAAGTTTTCTATTCTCTCTAGCAGCATGAGACAATGCATTTCTAATATTAAAAGTTGAAGTAGATTGGAAATTTATATGTTGATATGCGGATGATATATTTGGATTCAAATTTTCATTGTCATCGTGAATATGTGTACAATTGTTTGAAGATGATAAATGTTGCCGAGAATAACCTACATTGAATATGTAATAATAAGAATGGCTAATTAGAAAATGCAATGATTATATGAGATAAAACGTCAGAAGATATAAAACAATATTTGTTTAACAGCCGTTACATATAAAACATTACTGAATATGAAAGTAAATTGAGATGCAGATAAAGAATTACCAAATGACAAGTTGGACATAACATTGGAGCTTGGTTGATCCAAATATAATTTTCTATATCTGTGCCCTTGTTTATATTTGTTTGAATCCATATCGTGTTTGTAGTTTAAGAACAAAAAAATTTATGTAATAAAAAGTATATTGACAATAATTTCATTAAAATTTAAAATTGAAAATTATAATAAACAGAGACATTAATACGATTAATATATAGTAGTTAAAATTTGGTAATATTTAAGAATTGTATACTTTACATTAATAAAAATCAAGACTTCCAACAAAAAAGTGTATATTAACATAACAACTAAAATAAGATTTTTATCAAATAAATTAATTTTAAAAGATTTAGGAAAATATAGATAAGCATATATATTAATACTTGCATCAAAAAAATTTATATTCATTTTGATATAACAAATAAAAGAAGGATTTCATAAATAATAAAAATAAGAAAAGAGAAGGAAAACCCGTTTTTTAGATGAGGCTGTCAAATGTCTTGCTAGAATGTCGATTTTTGACCTGGTTTAATATAAGATTCAGCACAAGAGATTAAGAGATTAATAAGACAAAGATACAGAAAGATTCATTGAAAATGACAAAAATACCCTTATGCAAAACTTATTGTGTTTCATTTTTCTAAGTTCTAACAATTATAATTTGCATATTTTTTATGGACTTTATTCTATTGCAAATATGGAGTCAATATAAATCATCATAATTTTCGAAAGCATAATGATTACTACAAATCATGTTAAAAACAAAATGATAATAGAAAAACAGAAAACCAAAGTCGGTTCGCAGCAATGCCTAAAAATACAAAAACTGTAAATTGTAAATTTCCTAATGAATGTAGTAAAAGATTAACAACCAAAAAAAGGAGGAGGTGAAAATGATGTTAGAAACTTATGAGTAAAATGGATATACACTCATTAAAAAAGTTAAGCAAGATTCTTTTGTCTTCTTCCATGCTATGCTTAATGAAACCACTGAAGTTATCAAGCATATTTATATGTATTTTTTTTTAATTGGAAGTAGATTGAATCTATGCAAAAACACATTTAGGTCAATATGGACCAAATGTGCAAAATAGTGAACATTTTATTGTAAAAATGATGTTTTTGACCCTTGGTCATACATCAATCATAAATAGTTGGGGAAAACAAAAAGTATTAGTATTTTTCAATTTAATTAATGAACATCAAAACAATAAAAAGTCACAATAATGGTGATAATAGATCATTCCATTATTTTTTCTGTTTGCATTCCATCACACAAACCAAATATAACCACTTTCAAATAAGTAGGAAAACACATAAAACAACACAGTTGAAAAGAAACATGCATAACAGTTAATTATTATTTTTTAATTAGATTGTTGTTTCAAGTTTGAATACATTAACAACACTGATGTTATCATGATTCTAAGAGGTATTCAGTTTGTTATCTGCTATGGGTAATGAAACGACTAGAGTTATGAAGAATATTTATATGTTTTTTTTGAATTGTAAGTAGATTGAATGCATGCAAATTCACATTTAGGTTAATATATACCAAATGTGTAAACAACCAAGCAAAATGTAAAAATGATGTTTTTGCCCTTTGGTCATACAAAAATAGTAAACAGTTGGGGACAGAAAAAAGTATTTGTATTTTTCACTTTAATTAATCCACATTATAACAAAAAAAAAACCAATAACAGTGATAATAGAGTATTCAATTCCTTTTCCTGTTTCCATTCCATCACATGAAACAAATATAACAACTTTCAAATAAGTAGGAAAACACCTAAAACAACATAGTTGAGCAAAAACATGAATAACAACTTTCAAATAAGTAGGAAAACACCTAAATGGTTGCAAGTTTGAATCCTAATGTTGAAAGCAAGGACTTAGGATGGAAAACAGGGTATAGTAGTTCATTATCAAAGAATCGTCAGTTGTAATGTTCTACAATTCATCATCAAGTTGGACACAGGAACATAAAAACTATTAAGCAGGTACACATATATACACATTGATAAATAAACATAAACTGATGTTAAAAAACAGCACATACATTAAAAAAACACAAAAAGAAACAAAAGATAAACAAACAATTTGAAAGTAGTTTTTTTATAAACTTACAGAAATGATTGAACTCTGTGATTGTGATTGAAAACACGATTTTCCACTATGATGATGCAAAAATTTGGAACACGATGTTGTAATAAACTCAATATTTCAAGAGACAGTGATAACATATGAATTAGAATGACTTATACATAATAAGTAATTTATAAAAATTATTTTTGGAAAGGATATCAAAGTTTGGTTTGAAATTATAGAGTATTCCAAAATTTTAGCTGTCATGAATCAATCTTTGAAACGTTTCCCAAGTTAGCGTGATATTGAAAGGGATTGACCAAATTTGTTCATAATTATAATTGCTCTATGTCATTCTAATAATAATTCCTGCATATTAGGCACTAACTTTTTACATTATAAAATCAATTTAAAAAAAAAAACGTAAATGAGGATTCCATAAATTAAGCTACTATATAAAGATAGAAAAATTAAGATTGATGAAAACAAATATCTTCCTTTTTTAAAATAAACATCTTTTTGATCATATCACAATTAAAAGTTTTGGAAAATTGTAATATACGACTAAACTATTGTTATTTATAAAATTATTATTTTATCAATTATAGTGGCCATAATGGTGACTATATTTTTGTTATTCATAACATTATACGACATTTCTACTTTTGATATTTTAAGTTGTCAAATCGTGTAAAACACGAGTTTTAGGCTAGTATTTGATATAAATAACAAAATTGACTATGCAAATTATCAGATTTAAAATGTAGCATAAAATTACTTATACATCAAGTCAAATTATGTATAAGAATCATGGACTGTAAAAGAAAGTTGTGAAGATTTAAATATATATCCAATAATAAGAGTAAAAAATTCTTTGTATTTGGATGACCGGTTAAATTTTGTTGTAGGATGTGAAAGAGACTACTAATAAAAATGCCTTTATTAACTGAAATATAAAAGACGATTATGAAGAAAATATGAATGTAATATTCAAATATAAAGTGCAATATAATGATCACATAAAGAATCAAATCCAAGTTGCTAATAATAAAAGAAAAAGTAAAACCTAACACGAATGAATATTCATAGTGTACCAAACACTAAATATTAAAATCCCAAATAAAATGCAAGTAAAAGTGCCAAATATTAAAAAAAATGTCTAACAAAAATAGCATAGAGTAGCAAAGAAAGATCGAAGTTATTATCTTCATAAACAGGATCACTTTTGAATTTTAGGAATCAACAATTTTGTTGTTCCACCAACTTTGCCATCTCCAATACGGGGTGCATTAGGTTTCGTTGCTGATTCATAAACGTCATCATCAAGATCGTAAACATCTACAAGTTTACGTTTGTCACTTGTAGGCGGTGAATTGAGGTTGTTGACTGTTCTTGATGATATGCCAGAGGGAATATTCGACACAGGAGTATTATCAGCAGTGTAGGAAGTAGCATCCTTAAATAAAAAAAGAAATAATGTTGTTTAGTAATATAAAGGATAACATATATAAGAGTAAATGATGTTGTAATGTAGTTTACCATACAACCCACTGTTTCTTGAGATGCAAATTCTGAGCCAATTATATTAACAGATTCAGTATCCATGTCCTATAAAATTAATGATAAAATAAAACAGTATGTTGGGTTAAGGAATCTAGAAAATAGTATTTTTAAAATATGTATGTTTTAAATTAATTAAATTGATGTATTTTTACCTGTTCAATCCTACTATTTTTCTCAATTTTCTCCAAAGCAGAAATAATGTCAACATTATCCGTTATTTTGGAAATGTTGTAAGAACGACCAAATCTTGAAACATTAAATGTCTTGACAACAATCTTGAAAGCCAAGTTTTTGTCGATCATGGCATTCAACTCAATAGGAAACTCACTTGTATTGCCAAACTACAAAAATATATTAATAAATAATAACAATTAAATCAATGTGTGAAAATTAAGTTGTATTTAGCAAAATGGTATTGCATATAAGAAACATATACCCTTTTATATTTTGATAATAAATCAGCAGGAGATAATTTTAGAATATTTCCGACTTCACGATCAAAGATCGTAAGACTCACAACACCAACTAAACCTTGAACTCGAACTGTGATTATAAAACTAAAAAAACACATCAAAATTTTAAAAGTGTAAATTAAATATAATAATATTGAAGAATAATATAATAAGTTAATATTTATTACACACCTTGGTTCAGTAGTAATAAGTTTGTCCTTGCACTTTTCATTTGTACAAACCATAATCTCTTTCTCGTCTAACTGGTCCAAACCATTGACCGTCTCATCTGAAACCTTAACTATTTGAACCTTTGACTTGCAATGTTTGCAAGCATTATAATACCAATTCCGTGTATCTTCGAACATCTTTATTGTGCCAAGAATTGCTGCACAACCTCCTTATGATATTAGGTGTATTAAATATTTAAGTGTTGAATTAACTAAATAAAAAAAGAATAATTCATATACCTCGTTCAATTCGTGAATAGCGGATATTAAAAGAGTTTTTTTTTGAAGAAAGTCATCATGTAGTGAATACATGATGGATGAACCCGAGGTACGTGAAATCGAGGAAGTCAAAGAGCCTTGTTTTGCTTGTAAACTAATTAAGTTAATTAATGTTAGACAATATAACTCTATATTATTGAAACATTAAGACGTAATGAGAAATCATGTAGAAATTTCACATAACCTTTTTTTGAAAGTTGTTATCTCCTCAATGTCATCTTCAATATAAAGTTTTGTGGCCAAGTAGGTGTTATTGACATAAGGACGACCTAAAAATGAAATTTAATAATTTTCCACATGTTAACAAATTCATATCATAGATATGTTATTAATATAAATATTACAAATTAACAATTTACTAAGTAAGTACCTCAGACAAGTTTCAACTTAGCACATTGACTAAGCAATACAAAATGACCGGTATGCTTAGAGACATATGCATTAATTTCATCAGCATACCTTCCCCATAGGGTAACAAAAACTTCATGTCCTCTGTAAAAAATAATGAAAATTACTAAAAAAAATATATAATAAAAAGAGTAATTATAGGTATAAAAAATGAAACCCACTCTAAATCCTCTATTTTGAATGTGATTTTCTTTTCCTGTCTATCCTTTGTAGGTTCCAATGGAAAACACCGAAAAACGTTTCCAATAACATCTATATTATACAAAAGGAAAAATGTAACTATGTTTTTTTGTGGTGTAAAAAAATGAAATTTAAATATTTTAATCCATTAGGAATGGGTTGAAAGGAAATGCACTAACCAAATGAAAATTTTGGGTTTATTGCATTATCATGAAGTTGTTGAAAGTCTGCAAAATCAAAAGAATTCTGTGGCCCGCAAAAATCTATGCATTTAGTTACCTTCGTGGTATATTGAAAATAGAGTTTGTGTGGACCGTCAACAAACTTTATAGCACCTTCACTTAACCCTAATGTGGGTTTATGAATGTAGTAATCACCATATTCTTCAAAAGATTTTCCTTGAAGCGATGCAAATGGTTTGTCCACATTACATTCAATTTTTGAGCCCTTAAGATAAAAAATCAAATATTAATTAATAAGCATACAATAAATGTAATGATATATAAAATATGTAAGTTATAATACACATACATATAATTGTAAGTTAACATACGTAAGTTATAACATACCATTTCATCCATCAATATCATGCCAATCATACGAAGTTGTTGATTCCATGAAGTTTGTCTCCACAAACGGATGACACGGACCTTAATGGTATAGTCATCTTGTGAGAGAGCCAACTCACTTATCATGCTAATCTTCCTGTTTTCCATTAATCTATGCAAGAATGTAGTAATAAACATTAGAAAACACCATTTTAATTGCATAAATGACAAAACATTTAGGTCAATCATGTACCAAATGTGTAAAACTGTCAAATAAGGTTAGAGAGAAATCATAATGACTAAAAATTATTAATTTACAAATATATTAGTTTACAAAGGTATTAAAGACAACATGAGTAATCCGAAGATACCAGAAGCGTCCCACAACTATCATCAAAACATACGATGTTCAACAGGCTCACCATATTGTAGGAGAAAAAAATTGTATTCGGTATCTTCCGAGGAGAGTTACTTTATTTGAAGTTATTATAAAATGGAATTTTCATTTTTTTTACATAAAACAGTAAAACAAAGTCGGTTCTGCATATTGAAGATATGAAAATAGACATTTAGGTTAATATGGACCAGACGTGTTAAATAGCCAATAGATTTGTAAAAATGATGTTTTTGCCCCTTGATCATAGAAAAATCATAAATAGTTAGGGGACAGAAAAAAGTATTAATATTTTTCACTTTAATCAATCAACATTAAAACATAAAAAAATCAACAATAATAGTGATAATAGACCATGCTATTCATTTTCCTGTTTCCATTCTATCGCATCAAAAAAATATAACCACTTTTAAATAAATAGTAAAGCAAAGTCGATTCTGCAGCAATGCCCAAAATACAAAATATGGAATAGTAAAACAAAAATATAACCACTTCCTTTTTTGCTAAATAAAAGCATATTTGTTTTGGAAAACCATCCCAAATATAATTCTCATTGCCATACAAACAAGATTACATAGAGTATGTATACACACGAAAGAAAGAAGCAGGACATACATGTGCCATAATACACAAATGATGGGCTATACAAGCATACACACACGTACATTAATCTGATAACAAGTTTAATCTATGTGAAATAGTACCTCTATATTTGTTTTGAAAAACCATCCCAATTAAGGCATTGCTTTTTTGTAGTTTTTTTTTTTTTTTTTTTTGTAGATTTTTTTTTCTAATAACACTTTATTTGAAGTTGTTATAAAATGGAATTTTCATTTTTTTTTACATGAAACAGTAAAACAAAGTCGATTCTGCAGATTGAAGATATGCAAATAGACATTTAGGTCAATATGGACCAGACGTGTTAAATAGCCAATAGATTTGTAAAAATCACGTTTTTGCCCCTTGATCCCTTAATCATAGAAACATCATAAATAGTTGGGGATAGAAAAAGGTATTAGTGTTTTTCACTTTAATCAATCAACATTAAAACATAAAAAAATCAATAATAATAGTGATAATAGACCATCCTATTCATGTTCCTGTTTCCATTCCATCACACCAAAAAAATATAATCACTTTTAAATAAATAGTAAAGCAAAGTTGGTTGTGCAGCAATGCCCAAAATACAAAATATGGAATAGTAAAACAAAAATATAACCACTTCCTTTTTTGCTATAATAAAAGCATATTTGTTTTGAAAACCCATCCCAATTAAAGCATTGCTTTTTTGTAGTTTTTTTTCTAATAACACGTGTAACAGCACTAGCACTGATGTTATCATGATTCTAAGAGGTATTCAGTTTGTTATCTGCTATGGGTAATGAAATGATTGGAGTTATGAAGAATATTTATATGTTTTTTTTTTTGAAATGTAAGTAGATTGAATGTATGCAAATTCACATTTAGGTTAATATATACCAAATGTGTAAACAACAAAGAAAAATGTAAAAATGACGTTTTTGCCCCTTGGTCATACAAAAATAGTAAACAGTTGGGAACATAAAAAAGTATTTGTATTTTTCACTTTAATTAATCTACATTATAACAAAAAAAAAACAATAACAGTGATAATAGAGTATTCCATTCCTTTTCCTGTTTCCATTCCATCACATGAAACAAATATAACAACTTTCAAATAAGTAGGAAAACAGCTAAAACGGTACAGTTGAACAAAAACATGAATAACAATTAATTTATTTTTAATTATATTGCTCTAAATGGTTTCAATTTTGAATCCCAAGGTTGAAAGCAAGGACTTAGGATGGAAAACAGGGGTTTTTATAAGACAATTTATTTCATTCTAAGTCTCCTGTTTAACAAAAGTCTACATAAAAAATCCTTGTTCATCTTATTTATTTACAGCTTCAATGTTGCTCCAGAACTTATACATAGAGAGTTACAGACATTTAATCATACGTTTTAACGCCCCTGTTTTCATCTACCACATTTTGATACATGGAATGAAAAGTCAAAAGTCAGAATCATGCGTTTTATATTGGATTGATTTAGGAACATAAAGAGTTAAACACAAACACACATGAACATAAACAGTTAACGCACACACACATACACATTGAGAATATGTTAAAAAAACAACAAACACAATAAAAAAAAACACAAGAAGAAACAAAAGATAAACAAACAATTTAAAAATAGTTTTTTTATAAACTTATCGAATGGATTGAACTCTGTGGTTGAAAAGAAGATTTTCCACTGTGATGACGCAAAACTTTAGAAGACGATGCTGTAAACTCAATATTGCAAGAGACAGTGATAATAGATGAATATAATTGAGTTATACATAAAAAGTAATTTATAAAAATGATTTTTGGAAAGGATGTCAAAGTTTGATACATTCCTTGCAAAAATTACGTGAGTGAAGGAATGTTTGAAAAGTTTCTCAAAATTAACGTTATTTTTAAAAGGATTGACACAATTTTGTTGATGATAATTAAGAAGGTTTATTTGAAATTATTACCTCCCTTGCAAAAATTACGTGAGCTTTTAAGTGGTTATTGACTTTCTTTAAATTCAGGGAAATTCATATATTGTATTTTTATTAAGGATTTTTTAATTTAAAAGCAAAGAAATTAGAATTTGCCAAGTGGAATTAAAGGTAATTGGAAAAATAGATAAAATGCCATGTGGCATAGTGAATAAGGTGATGACATGTGACAATGTTTTTTTCTTTTATTAGGGTATATATATATATATATATATATATAATATATATATATATATATATATATATATATATATATATATAACATCATAAATGGTCCATGTGATTTTCCCAAATCTGAAGTTTAGTTCCCATGGTTTAGAAACGTTATAGTTGTTCCCTGTACTTTCAAAACTTTTGACGATTATTCCTTATTGTTAACTTCATTAAGTTTTGTCTGTCAACTGAAGGGTATTTTCGTCATTTCACTACCACATGACCATTAATGATGTTTTCACTTATTTAAAAAAAATAAAAATAAAATAATATACAAAGGGGTCCCTCTTTCTTTCTCTCTCTCTCTCTCTCTCCCTCTCTCTCTCTCTCTTTCTCTCTTTCTCTCTTTCTCACACACACACAACAGGAGCTTCCACCTGACGCACGTAAGATTGGCTTGCCTTTGACACGATCCTTATTCACTGTGTTAAATTTGAAATCCTATTTTCTTTCAAGACTCGATTAGATAAAGCACAACTTCAGGAAGTTCTTTAGCATGGAGCGAAAGGTGTTTCTAAATACAACAAACCTGAAGAACGTTCTGTGATGAAGGCACTTAATTCTTTCGCACATGAAGGTTTCTTTTCGGATGCCGATGATACTTCCTTGAACTTGGTTGAATCTTCTCTTCCAATAAACAACATAACAACGTTTCCTCATAGGCTTGCGTTGAATCTTCGTCTATTGTAATCTAAGATCTAGCTTTTCCTCCATTGAAAGAGTTCTTCGTTTTATCGGTTTAAAAAAAATAGAACAACATTTATTCCTTTCTCTGATTTTTTATTTATCCTATCAGCTCATGGAACTTCTGAAAGCTAGAGTGGACAAGGAAGGGTCAAGAGTTGTATCTACTCAATTGATAGAAAAAATCATTTTAAATAATCCACATCACCCGATTTTCGAAGCTCAGGTACATACAAAATTCCAATTCGAGAACATAAGGAAGAAGGGGCTGCGATTTGAATATCTACAGATGAGAGGAAAGGTGCACATGAAGCAAAGGGCATCCCAGTCTCGAAACAAAGTGACCCATGATTGTGAAGTTGAAGTTGAAATCACACTAAGAAGATATCGAATCAAAGCGACCTATGAAGCTAAATCAAGATAACAATGTATTTATGATGTCGAAGCATGAACCCTAGTGATTTAAACAAGTAAAGTGTCTCTTTGAGAAATATAATCAAACAGGTGACATGGATTATGATTTATAGACCTGGAGGAACTTTCAGGCGAGTCAGGGAAGAGGGTGTGGGTTTGGATAAAAATTCCTACTTAACATCATTACGAGTACCAATCTCATCTGTGGGTTTTGCTCGGGATATGGGCAGTAAATCACTTACCTTGGTTGATGGCATCCGATGGTGGCAGCGGCGGAAGGTGGTGATGGCAGCTTCCAGTTGTAATAGAGATGGGGTTCAAAGTTTTTGGAGGTGAGGGAGGAAGACAAAGATGTGTCTTTACTATTTACGCGTGCACGTGCGAGCGCCCGCGCGCGCGCGAGAGAGAGAGAGAGAGAGAGAGAGAGAGAGACCTTTTATATAATGGTCCATCTGGTAGTGAAATAACGAAAATACCATTTAGTTAACGGATAAAATTTAACGGAGTTAGAAATAAGGACCAATCGTCAAAACTTTTGAAAGCACAATGACCAACTATGATGTTTTTAAACCACGAGGACTAAACTTCAGATTTGGAGAAACCATAGGGACCGTTTATGATGTTTTTTTTCATATATAAATATATATATATATATATATATATATATATATATATATATATATATATATATATATAACTTATTTAAAAAATATATTTATACATAATAATAATCAAACTAATTAAAATTATCAATGTAAAAATAAAGGTAATAATAATAATAATAGCATTTTATGCATTTGTATTAAAAGGTTAGAGGTAATAATAGTAATCAACATTTTATGAATTTATAAAAACTGGTTAGACTAATAAAATCAAATACTTTCTCAGCCTACTTAT